TTATATTATTTTCTATTTGTATTTAGTGAGTTTTTGTGATGAGAAGATGAAGGCGTAAGGCATTGAATTCGGACGATAATGACTTTGGATTTGGGCCTGGTTCTATTGTTCTGAGACTAATTGGATCCAGTGTAAACTTGGGTTGTGATCAATAGTGGATAGTGGTTTGTGGGCCTGCGAGATTAAAAAGAAGGAAAATGCCATCCAGGCCCTTTAATTTAGGGCATGTTTGGTAAATATTTTTCCTGAATTGTTTTTGCAAGAAACCGTGAGCCTTTGTTAATATGGCTTGGCTGAGGAAAGTAACAATTCTGACACAAAAATAAAAACTAAAAGTAATCGGTTATATTTTACTTCAAAATAATTATATTCAAACATAATTGATTACATGTAATATAATCGAATATAATGTTAAATTTTTTTTCTTCTTGTGTTTTTGGGTAGGAAACGTTGTATGGATGATGTAATCGATGGAAAGCTTTATAATCCGCTACTTCAAGCATTTTATTTTCTCAGCATAGATTTCAATTAATACTTAAGTCTATAATCTTGGTTTAATGACTAGACTTTCCTAAAAAATTTTTCTTGGTAAAGTTGTGAACCAAACACGTATTTAAGGTTTCATTTTTAACATTTTGAGTTTATTATTATTATTATTATTATTATTATTATTATTTTTTGAGACATTCAATTGATTTAAATCACGTGAGAGAGAGGAGAGTGGGGATGAAGAATGATGGCCATACAGGTGAAGAAATACCTTTTGCTAATAGTTTAATTACTTATTTTATAAACTTTTTCCAAAAAATTTTTTATTTTTTAATTTATCTCATGCTATATTATACCATTTAAATTAAAAAATTATCATATTCACCAAAGAGAAGATTAGCACAAAACTAAGTCAATAACCATCCTTCAAGTTTATATTAACTTTTTATCTTGCATGTACTGATTATTAACATTATTCAATGCAAGTATTTACTTTCTCTTCTACCTCTGGGTACCCAAGAGTTGGTGTGTCATATGCTAGAAAATTCGAATTCACGAAAGTACCCATGCTTTTCCCCCATTCATGTTGAATTTCTTGAGTCTTCCAAAGAACATGACAACAATGAGAATAATCTTGCCTTCATCGCTCCATGTTCCTGAAAATCCATACCATTTGTCCACACAATTCCCATTCGGCTTCAGCTGTCGCTCGCAACTGTAGCCTGTGGTGAACCCCACATTTCCATATGCACTGTATCCAATTAATGGGAACATAGATCCAATCTTAGTGGGCGCAAATCTAACAAAATTAATGTTTAATTTAAGACAAATTCTTGACCGCTTACATTTTTATTGGTTTTTTTTATTAAACAATAATTAGTATATTTTTTTATTCAAGCGTATTTCACAATATATTTATTAATAAATTATTTTTTCAAATTTGAATTTAAAATAGGAAAACTTATAGTTTTATAATTTAATGATTGAATTAATGAGTGCTGTTAAGTGTGTTGAAGTAAAGGTTGTACAAATTATTTTTTATTAAAGTGTATTAATTACACATTTTTCTTTGTTACTACCTTATGTTAGATTTAGTTATCTTAATTTGACTTTTACATAGAGTTTGATATGATGATTTTATACTGCAAAAAAGTGAATTGGAAATTTTTTTTCATCTAAGTGAAAATACTCAACAACTGTTTATGTATAGAATATAAAAAAATTTCAATTATCATTTATTTACTATATAAAATCATATGATCAAATTTTATGTAAAAATTAAACTAAAATAACCAAATTTGACTTGAGCTAGTATCTGTATTGAACAAAAAAAAAAAAAAAAAAAATCAACATTGACTTTAATTTCATAAACTATTTAACTAAAATTGGATACATGTCATTAGTGTTTAAAATGAAGTTAGTTTTCGTATTTTCTTATAGTATAAATTAATAAAAAGATGATATAATTAATGGATCTTTAATCTGAGTAAACATATGTTAGACAAATTAATTTTTTATTTATTATTTAGGATTCTTCAAATTCCAATGAGGGCAATTGCGACCTTGGCTCCCATGTTAGGGTCATCAATCCGTTAGTGCTAGCTCACGACATGTTGACGCAATTGGTCACTGCCCCTTTCCAATCTCCCAAAAAACAGTTTAATTAATTGATTCCTCTTAATTAATCAAAAAGACATCCTTTGATTGACGGAGAGTTGATGAATATTCCCTATATCATACTTACTTTCTTGAAGAACATAAGAATATATGATATGCCTACTACTATTACTACAAAAAATAATATAAGGAAGATGACAGATGAGACAAAGTATGGTGGGATAGAAAGAGGTTGAACTAACGAGGGGTTGAACCAACGAGGGATTGGATCAAGTGGTAAACGGTTTGTTTCAGTTTAAATAAGGTCTCGAGTTCGAGACCTTGTGTACGTAGTAACCCTTGTTGGGAAACTCATCCACCATTTTCAGGTGCGTGATGCGGGTCGAGTTCCAGATTAGTCGAGACGAAACCCTAGATACCGAGCAGGAAACCAAAAAAATAAAAAGAACGACGTTGAAAAAATTCATTCATGCTAAGATGGGTGGGTCTCACGCGCCTCAGATTCAGTTTAATCATTGACTGTAATTTTTCATTCCTAACATCAACGGTGTTCATAATATAAAATTAATTGAACCATTAGTCATGTAGTTTGATGATAGATTTTTTTTTTTTTTTTTATCTTGGTTGCACAATAGGAGGCAATAATTTCTTATCCTTTATCCTACTCCATCCACATGCTAGGTAATTCGAACTCAAAATTTCTTACTTCCAGTTAGACATGACAAAAGTGTCGGATTGGGTGCGTTCGGATTGGGTCGTATCAGATCTCAGGTTTTTTGAATTGGGTTATTTCAGGTGTCGGATTGAAGGGGTAGACCCATGACTCACCCACATAGGTTTCAGACTAAGTTAGATGGATCCAACTTTTAAAAAATTAAAATTAAAATTAAAAGTTTTTTTTAAAATATTTTTCTTTATCAAAATCTAATACTAATTAACTATTTAGTGAAAAAACTTTATTAAATGCTAATTTTCATTTTATGATTTAATTTTCATTTCAATCTTAAGAAAAGAAAATGGAAAGATTACTAATTATATAGGTGGAATTGAAACATATGTCAAATATATAATGCCTATACAATATTTACAGTTTATAATTTTATAAAAACATTAACCTTCATTAAAAGAAATGACATGAAGGATTAGAGTTCAAAAAAACAAATCCAATATATATGTTAATATCTAGTGCCTATTCAATATTTATAAAGTATTATACAAAAAATACAATTCTATTCAATATTTAGAAAGTATAGCCTTATTCAATATTAAAGTTTAAAAGGTAAATTTAAAATATATCTAACCAAATACAAGAAGAAATTGGATAGGGATTGGGATTGATTTTTATTAATTAAGAACAAATTAATAATTTAGGACAAATTAGCAACTAAGATCAAATCTTAATGTTTTTTATGTTCTAGTCATTATGCTTCTATTGATGACGAGAGTTCCTCAACTACTGGTTTTTTATTTTTAATAGACATTCTTGCTTTCTTTCTTTTTTTTTTTTCAAAAAAAATGTTTTTGATAATATCATATGACACAACTCATTATGTGTCACATAATTTTATTTTTTATGCAAGTACCACCAAAGAGAAGGATTAAAGAGCTTGAGATAAAGAAGGGGAGAGTAAGAGTGGAGAAGAGGAAAACTTGTGAGAAAGAGAAACTAAAAGGAGGTTAGAGTTTGGATATTTTATTTATTTTTACTTTTACTACTTTTAAAATTAGGAAATTAGAAATTTAAAATTATTTTTTAAATAATCTAATAAAAAATAAATTAAAAAAATTCGGATCATTTCAGGTGATCAGATTCACCCGTAACCC